ATCAATGAATAGCACAGCCAGACATAAAACTCTATTAGGAAGTGCACCATAGCTTCTTCTTTTTTTTATTATTATTATTAATAGTATGGATGTTTGAATTAATTTATAGGTATCTTGGTTAATCTCATATATTTTAAAATTAATAATTATATATAAAAAAATTTAATAATTCTGAAATTTATAAAACTTAAATTAATAATTTTTAAAAAATAAATTTAAAATTTACTTAGTTGATTTATACCCTTTAAATTTATACAATAACTTGTTTGACAAGAAGCTTGGTAGTTTATGGCCACATGTTGCGTGGTTTCTATATTTGAGGCAGGACAGTGCATTTTTAGGCATGAAACCCAACTTCCTAATGTAGTTTTTTTTCCCACGCACGTTCGATGACCAAGTCGCCAAATGTGAACGTCGATCGTATTGCAAAATTGTGGAGTCGTTTTTTCATTTTTATATCCATATATTCTTATAATATATTTATAGAATAATTATTGCTGAGTACTCTAGAATTTTTGGAGGGATGTCATCGAACCTCCTAGGTTTGGACACTTGTACTCGAAGCTACTGAATTGTTTTCGTTCGAAAAAGAAGATTTGGTAGCTGAATTGAATATACAGCCTTCCCACCGACCCTCGGTTCTTCGACAGAAAGGGAACGCAAGGCAGCTCATTGCCCTGGCCCAAAGTCTACACCTCGAAAGGTTCCTGCCAAAGGCCCAGATAACTGACTGCTCGTGGTAGCGTTTGATTATTGCTTTTCAACTAGAGAAATAGAAACAATTAAGATAAAAACTTGTTCAATTATATACACAAAAACTGGATTTTGGCCTGCGATAGTCTGCGAGCTGGATATTTTTTTGCATGCAAGAAAAAAATATATGAAATCATGGTATTATAAGTAAAATAAAAGAACCATGAACGCCAACCTTGATGCAAATTAGAAGATACTCTTTTTACAATATATTACATGATATGTTCATTTCTAAAATATTTAGATGACTATGTAACTAGATTGATCCCAGGAAATCATGGCTAGTTTCTAAAAAATACAATTTAGATTATAATATTATAATAATTATTTAAAAAATAAATTAAATCAAATTATAAAACTCAATTCTCAGC